GTGGACTCTGAGGAGGTAACTCACCTAGGATGGATCTAGAAGTTGCAGGATACTGGCCTCTAGGAACTGGAATTCTAACACCTTCTGTTGGACAGATCCAGCTAACCTTCTGGTTTCAGTTGTTTCCTTGGTTTAGCCATCAGAAGCGTTAGCATCGTTAGCGTCAGGAGTCATTTTTCCATTTCCAGAGCAGGCCTAGAACCTTTAGAGGCACAGAAAGATGTCTTCAGTTCAGAAGGACTGGAGAACCACTGCCAGAATGGTAGATTCATGGAAGTAGTCCTCAGACCTGGACTAACCGATCAGGTCAGGTCTTATCTCGTCACTTTAGGAGTCAAACTTCATCAGATTTTCTCCTGCAGACGTTGAAGCAGTGAGATAATCGTAGAGATTTAGGAAATCTGCAGCAAACCATCTATCTACTGTGTCCGATGTTGACGGTCTCTATGGGATTCCTTTGTTTTTTATCGTAGGTGCGGGACATGATTGTAACGCGGCCGGACATCGGTTTCCTTCGGACGGACGATGAATTCATCCTCCGCTTCCTCAGAGCCAGAAAGTTCGACCACATGGAGACTTTCCGCCTGTTGGCCCAGTACTTCCAGTTCAGACAGCAGAACCTCGACATGTTCCAGAGCTTCAAGGTTTGTGCTTCAGGGTTAGCTTTAGGGCTACAGAGCTAGCAAAGCAGGAAGTTGGGCAGGTGTGGCTGATTGGTGGAGACCTAACAAGACTAATCCCACATTTTCTCAAAGTTTTCCAAAGACAGAAGCAGCCATTCAAAATGGCCCTTCCTGGTCAAAAGCCAGCCGAATTCTTGCATATTTTTTACTCTGACTCCACCCTTTTACTGAATTACAGGGTCTGACCAGGAGATGGCGCTTCTCTTTAGATCTTAATGTCCACAAATCACGACAGAAAGAATATTTTAGTACAAAGATGGATGTTTAAAAAGGAATTGTAGGGGACCAGCCAGGGACCCGTCAAGGAAAGTTTTAAATGGCTACTACTGTAAAACGTCCATAAGACGCCTGATATGTTTCTAACCTGAACAAATGTCTGTGAAGCATCGACACAGAACCCAGTTTTTCTGCTACCCCCCCCCCCCCCCCCCCCCCCAATGTGAGGAGATTTCCTCATTAAGGGTGTGGTATCACGTAGAAGTTGAACTACTAGATGGTCTGTCACAGATATTAATGCATCATCTGCATAACGGGCGATAAACTGACTGAAAGTGACCGAGGAAGGGTAGTGGTCCAGGAACCCAGCCTTGAGGGATCCCAGTGGTTCCCCTATTGTCCTGTTGGTGGGGCAATCTGCCCCTTTAATGACCTCTACTGCCCCCCCCCAATCAATGATGGCAGGAACCCTCCCCAACGCTCAAACACGCTACATACCTGCTAACCACCAACTTAGCATCAGTTTAAGCTAATCCAGGCTTTAATCTTTACTTTTAATCTATAACTGAGAATTTCTCATGGCTTCCTCACCACAGTGCCAGTGTTCAGATGTCCTAGTAGCAGGAATTCACTCTCAATTCTATTCATTCTATTTCTATAGCTCCAATTCCCATCATGTCATCTCAGGTCACTTTCCAGTTCACCAGATCATCCAGTCAGATTGTCTAAGGACTTCTATCTAAGGAAAACCAGCTGATTGCATCGACTCATTGCCGTTTCTCACTATGTGTACTTGTGCGTTGTCGTTTTCTGATGACGTGAAACGTTAGCCCGTCTGCAGCAGCCCTCTCGCTGCATAGCTGTGTCTGAAGGACCGCTGGCCATGATTGAGAGTTTTTTGGCAAACTTTTTATCTGACTGTGTTCATTATTATTCCCCCAATAAATGTCCAGAGAGACAAGGGAAAAAGTTTAACAGGTTTATTGAGACGCTTGTGGAGATTCCAGTGTTGCTCTGAACGCTGCTCAACCGGAACTGAAAGGTGAGGGGAAGACACTGCGGTTAGTTCAGGTTCAGTGGGAAAATTGATTCTTGGACTTGAAGAGGAGGAAAGGTAGGCAGACTCATTTCCAGAGAATTGGTTGACTCTTAGACTCCAGCAGGTGAGGAATTTGTTCCGGTGTTTGTCTCATACGGTGGAGGGCGGACAGGGTTCATCTACAAGCAACCAGAATGCGGTTGCTTGTAGATGAACGGCGAAGACTGACTGCCACTCAGTTTTCCTGCGGTACTTGAACGGACTGTGGTGCAGATGAATCCCTTGCTCAGTGTGAAGCTCAAACAAATCCTCGGGGGAAAAGTGGATCCAATCCTCCGGTTTGTTTCCTCAGCTCAGTTTGAAGCTCAGTAGATCCTTCCAGGGAGAGAAGGTCTGAAAATCCAGTTTGCAGGATGACTTCCTGCCGAGAGGCAAAGACAAAAACAATGTTAAGAACTCAGTTTGACTCAGCAAAACTCAGCTTGGCTAGAGTTCCCAAAACTGGCAAACACTCTGGCGTCGAGGTAGTGGCAGTCAGCAGCTTAAGAGTCCTCCGTTAGCGAGGTAACCCCTTGCAGGTGTGTGAGGAGGAGAATCAGAATCAGGCGCCGCCTGGTGGAGGAAGGAAGACAAACACACAAAAACACAGACCACACAGACTGGAGTCCTAACACAGATTAGCTTTGAATGTGGTGATGTCATCAGTACGCTTCTGTTCCAATTGACCCAGATTGTTCTGCGTGTTCCCGTTATTCCCAAGTCCAGACTTTCCTGTGTTCTTCTGAAAAACAGACTTGGCGAGGACACAAGTCCGTACTCTTCTGAATTGAGAAACAGCCATTAACTCCTCAGCAATCCCTCACACTAAGCATGCTTGTAGCGACAGTGGAGAGGAAAAACTCCCTTTGAACAGGAAGAAACCTCAGATAATAATTTCTTAGAAGATAAAGCCAATAATAATAGAATAATCCGGATCTGTCAGGATATTTGTAGCTTGAACTTCTTTAGCTTTGATCTAATTACATAGATTAGTCCATGGATGTCCATCTGTCCTCCATTCTGACGTCCCAGCGTTCGGCGAGGTGTTTCCAGCTGACAGGCGTCTCTGTGTCCTCCTCAGGTGGACGACCCCAGCATCAAGCGAGCCCTGATGGACGGTTTTCCAGGAGTTCTGGAGACTCCAGATCAACACGGGAGAAAAATCTTGATCCTGTTTGCTTCCAACTGGGACCAGAGCAGGTAAAACACACATTATTCCCGTCTCTACGAGGACCACGCCTTCAGAAGGACGGAGTTAGTCTGTTTGCGGTCCAGTTTTTAATGCTACTCAGGACAAAACTAACTGAACCTCCCATGAGTTAAAGCTGATAATCTGGATGATAATCTGAATGCCAGGCTGAAAATAAAATCCGTACTCGTCTTTCCAGCAGACGGCATAAAGTCTCGGATCAGAACCGGCCGGCTTTATGAGTTTATCATCATTTCGACAAACATCCCAGTCATTTGAGAAGGAAATCCCGCAGCATCATAGCACCTCCTCCGTGTTTAGCTGTGGTCTAGGGGTTCTTGATGCTCACTTTT